AAATGAGACGGTATCCCAGCGCCGTCATACCACCATTGTCTTGGTTTTTTTTGATTCCATCTCCTATGGTTTTGTGTTATACATGTACACACATATATATATATATATATATGTGTGTTCTACTATACTATACACATGTTCCCTTATACCTATCCTCTCCTAAATCAAGCTAAACCAAACCCCCCCCCTACCCACAAAAAATAACCAAATAAACAAAGAGCTAAAGAGTTCAGCACGGAGATTTCAAGTCTCAAGGTTGTGTACTGGTGATGGGTAGTTTGGCTGGTAGGATCTTCTTCTTCTTCATCATCATCTTCTTCTTCTTCATTATTATCTTCTTCTTCTTCATCATCATCTTCTTCATCATCATCTTCTTCATCATCATCTTCTTCATCATCATCTTCTTCATCATCATCTTCTTCATCATCATCTTCTTCATCATCATCTTCTTCATCATCATCTTCTTCATCATCATCTTCTTCATCATCATCTTCTTCATCATCATCTTCTTCATCATCATCTTCTTCATCATCATCTTCTTCATCATCATCTTCTTCATCATCATCTTCTTCATCATCATCTTCTTCATCATCATCTTCTCACCTCCCCCCATCCCATCCTTCCACGCCCTCCGCCTTCCCACCCAGCCCTTTGCTCCCTCCAATCCCAATCCCACCACAAGACAACACAGCAATGACGACGACAACGATGACCAGATGAACACAAACGTCTGCACACACTGGCTCGAGCGAGATACAATACCATGTCAGCTTCAGACGCTGTGTTGGCGGGTATTGGGTTGTGCATGGTGAGTTGGACAGTGAAGAAGAAGAGTAAGAGCAACAGGGTCTAATCGAGGAAAATGAGTGTCGTTGTGAGAATATGCAATGGAGGACATGGGTAATGTATGGGCAGTGTACAGTGGATAATGACATGGGGATATTGCAATAGCAGGATGAAATGTAACTAACAACTAGACCACCAAGTGCAACAAAAGCCAGAACTAACAACATGAATCCGTATAATAAGCCCCCCCCCTCAAACCGCACTCCTCTCCCTCGCCATCCGCCTCAACCTCGCCTTCTCCGTCGCCTCCTCAACCTTGGTCCGCCTCCAGGTACACTCGTCCGAGAAGTCGCACATGCGACATTTAAACGCCTCCTCGACCTCTACACCCTTTGCCTCGCGGTATCCCTTCCACCAAGCCATTTCCTCATCGACATAGCGATCGATAACCTCGGTCGTGTACACGGTGAGCTCGGAGCCAATGACCTCGCCCGTGTTTGCGTAGCGAAATTCCGCACGGAGGATCGGGGAGAGATTGGTTGGCGGCACGGTGGTCTGGGTTTCGGTGACGAGGAGGGACCAGAGGGAGAGAAGGTTTGGGTAGTTTGGGGCTTGGGCGTCTGGGCCAATGTCTTGGATGGCGTCGAGGAAGGTTGGGGAGAAGGGGAGCAGGGGTTGTACGTCGTACCGTGCGAAGACGGTTTCCGCGTCCACGGTGTTGAGGGAGAGGGATTCGAGGAGTTTGCGGTAGAGCATGAGTTGCATCTTTGTGGGGCGTAGGGAGGCGCCTGTGGGGAGGGAGCGGACAGATCGCGTCTTTACGTCTGCGAGGTAGATTTGACGATCGGAAATCGAATCTGGCATCCATGTATCGTCGCGTTCAGAAGGCTGTGAGGAGTTTGCAAATGCTTCCGTTATGGACATTTGGCCGGGTGGTAGAGGCACGATGCCGCCGCGCTGCTCCGCGCCTGCTCTCTCCAGCTGCTCTTCAAAGTCGGGATCGGGACACTGGTAGCTCAGCTCGTCAATCACGCCATTTACGACTTGGCCTTGCAGGATACCCCAGACTTCCAGCTCGCGCGTCAGGCCTGTTTCGCGAAGACAACGCAGACCAGATATGGCATTCCAGATGCGCAGACCAAAGCGGTCTTCCTTAGTGTGGACTTGCACAGGCACTGTGCTATGTACCTCGTCTTCGAGCTTCTGGTGTATTTTCGACCCGGTGCGCATGGCCTGCGTGCGGGGCTTCCGTCCAAACTTGCTGAGAGTGTAAAAGTACTGTAATTCGCACCATGCTGGCGACACGAGGTCTGTTACCGACAGACACTTTTTGGGCTTTGTGCGGAAGCGCTCGAGCGGCGCACGAGTGTCGGGCTCCTTGGTGCCTTGGGTATCGGTGGAAAGAGAATCTCTGGTTCTAGAGGCGGATTTGGAGTTGTAGTGGAATATTTTAGAAGGCGAGGACGGCTCCTCTAGTGGTACTAAGCACTGTCAGTCGTCAGTTCATGAATAGGGCAAAACATGTTTATCCGATGAAGATACAGGGTCAAGACGTACCACTCCATGCGCGCCGTGATCTTGGGTCGTACTCGACTTCCAGCGCTTCTCGCTCCCGGACTGGCGAGCTCCGAATGTCCAGAGGCACGTCGAAGCGGACGTTGGCCTTGCCCTTTGCCACGCGCAGCACGGTGGGGCGATGGACCTGCACGAAGCCGTCGGCATCTTGCTCCTCGTCCTCAAGCTCTCCCTCTTCGAATTCGATGCTCGGCAGCGCCGCACTTTTTTCAGTCGGTCGGCTCTCTTTCAGTGTGCTTAGAACGTCTGCGAGCAGACTGTCCTCGTCGAGGTCGTCGAAGCCAATGTCGGAGCCATAGTCGCTCATGGAGGCAACAGACTGGGTATCCACATTGCGCTCGCTTGTAGTGTTTGTCAGCTGGGCAGAAGCAGCCATGATGCCATTATCTGGTCGTGGGTGGCCCCACTGCTGGTCGTGGTGAGGGTGGCGATGTGTCGGACGTGTGCCGGCGCGCTTTCGCGTGGACTCGTGAGGTCATGAGCGCGTGGGCCAATCGTATCTGCTGGTCTGACATGACGACCACGAATAAGGGAGCACTACAGAATCACCCATCTTTCATGTCGTTTTATTAGTACAGTCTGTTTCACGGGATGAATCGGCGAAATTTGAAATGAATGAATGATCATCGAAAAGAAATCATGTGCCACACGGTCTCCAGCTTGTACAACAGACAGCGACACCATCAGTTCACAGGCTATATATTATATAATCCTTTGAACAATACATTTAGTCGCCCAGTTTACCAATACTATCAAACTATGAAGCTGTATCCACACATGAAAATTGGGATTGAAAGGAACAGTCTGTACCAGACGGGTCAGTGAAAGCTGGGAATTCAAAGAACAGTTTATTACGGTGGGTGGTGACATCCATGACCAGAACTCGGTTTGCCAGGTCATTGTGTATGATGGGGTGAGAGAACTGCTTGTTGAGACATTGATTTGCGTGCACATCAACCTGTAACCCGTGTGTATATCCGACTTCCAAACCTGTCTACCAACGACGAAAGTGGTGATCGTTACTACACTACTACCGTTGACGGCGTCATGTGCGGGGTGGCATCGAATCGAGACTGTTTGCGGCAATCACAAGGGCCTAAGCCAACTAGACCCAGACTATCATGGACACGGAACACCAATAGCGAGTAGGTCGATAGTTCATCGTCATGCATAGCAGTTAGAATCACAAGCATCATGCAACGAGGTTTAGAGGAGAAATCAGTTGGTTTGATTTCGTGAAATATCATCGGTGACCCATCACCACTAGCCTGGTATACTACATGCTCAGCACCGCTCGAGTGCAACCCATAAACCGAGTTTGAAGACCGTAAACCATGAATCCCATGAACGCCAAAGTACCCACTCCGAAGAACCACCACCGATCCAATTATTTGTCCTATGAATCGATGTCAAGAAACGACAAGCTTAACCACGCTCACCACGGAGACGGCGGGCGAGCTGGATGTCCTTGCTCTCTGCAACGGTGTTAGTGAATGCTCAGGCAGTAATGTAGAGGGGTGAGAAGGAGAGACGTACGGATGGTGACACGCTTGGCGTGGATGGCGCAGAGGTTGGTGTCCTCGAAGAGGGAGACGAGGTAGGCCTCAACGGACTCCTGGAGAGCGCCGATGGCAGAGGACTGGAAGCGGAGATCCGACTTGAAGTCCTGGGCAATCTCACGAACAAGACGCTGGAAGGGCAGCTTGCGGATGAGGAGCTCAGTCGACTTCTGGTAGCGACGGATCTCACGGAGAGCGACGGTACCAGGCTTGTAGCGGTGAGGCTTCTTGACACCTCCGGTAGAAGGTGCGGACTTGCGGGCAGCCTTGGAAGCGAGCTGCTTACGGGGAGCCTTGCCACCAGTGGACTTACCTGAAATGTTGTTAGTGAGGTGTTGGGAGGGAAGGTAGATGTTGTGGTGGTGGTGTGGCTGAGGTAAGCAAGGCAGGCACGACTGGTGCGCGCATCGCGAAAGGTGGCGACAGCAAGCTGCGAACACCAAAAGCGAGCGCGGCCGACGATGCAGGCCAGGGCAGAGCACATGAGGTTAGTACTTACGGGCAGTCTGCTTGGTACGAGCCATGGCAGATGGATTTGATGATGAAGATGGATGGGTAAAGTGGTTGTTGGGTGGATGGGTGGGTGGAGGCTGAGTGGGTGGTGGAGCTGTGTTGGTGGATGAGAGAGGAGAAGGTGGGCGGGCGGGCGAGGTTTATGTAGGACTGGGGGCGGGGGCGGCAGGCAGCAAAATCAATCCATCGCCTGCGCCTCCAAAGAAAGCGAGCGGGACGTTCAAGGGCGGGCGGGCGGGCAGGAACTTCAAAGGTGATTTTGCCAACTTAGCAACCAAGCAACCGCCCACAACGGTTCTCCGCCTTAGCGTTTGGAATATT